AATGGTTGATATTCTGCTAGCATAAGTCGACTTGTTTGACTATTAAACACTCCTAAATAGAATGTGATATTATATATGAGTGTGAAATTTGATTGTATGAATCTGATAGAATTCTAAATTAAATGTATTTGATTCTTGTAGAGTTAGCCTACTTGTTTTATTAGTTAACTCTGTAATGAAAATTTATGCTATGCTATCTATTGTTTGTTGTAGCAGATCAAATTCATGAAGAAGAACATTTGAACCGAGAAAGAAGGTCAAAGAAAAACTTGATAAATCAGTTGAACAAAAGACAACTCCTAAACCTTTAAATGCACTAATTTTGGAAAGAGAGATAAGGTCGAAGAGGCAATTTGATAGAGTTCCAATTGTAAAACATTTTAAAAATAAGGGAATTGCTGAAAACGTCAAAGAAGAAAAAGAAAGATAATGTTAGAAAAAACAATAAGGAATACCCACACTGGTTTAAGATACCTTCCAACCAGAATGAAATGTGATAACATCACTGCAGCTGTTATGGGAATGTCGCCGGAACAGAAACAAGCAATCTTGAGGATGGGTTTTGGATCAATTCTGCAAGTGAATATTACAAGTTATCCGGGACAACTTAGCTACTATCTTTTAGATGTTTATGACGCAGATAGTAAAAGACTTGTCCTACAAAACTCTGTTATTGAGATAACAGAACAAACAGTGCATGATATGATGGGGTTGCCATTTGGTGGAGAAGACATCAATGAGTTACCATTGTGTGATAAGGGAAATCAAATTCTAGAGAATGGAGGGGACAATATAGTGGTGATAAGTTCAATGGTGAGGAGTATTTAAGAAGGATTCAGGCTACAACGAAGGATAATTTGATGTTTAGGCTGAATTTTTTGACCCTATTTGTTAACAACTTCATAGAGTCAATGTTGATGGAACAAATCAAATAAAAGTGGTAAGGAAGTTGGTGTTGGTAGAAGACTTCTCAAAGTTAAATTGGTGTAAATATATTGCTTGATTGTTTGGGCTCTAGAAAAAAACTATGGAAAAGGGATGACAAATCAAGCTACTACAGTGGTCCTATTACACTTCTGATTGTAAGTTTGAAATATTTTTATATGAATGTATATATTTCGTATCGATTTATTATTGATGTATTGATTAAGTTAATGTTTTTTTTTTCAGTTGGTGTACGTGTATAACATGAAGTATTCTATCAAGATAGACAAAAGGCTTCCTTTTATTGGGCATATAAATGGTGCTAAATTGTTAGAGGTTCAAAAATTAGAAATCAGTTTGGGAGGGTTCGGGAGGCAGTTTCGGGATGAGCATGATGATGTCGATATGGTCGATGAAACAGGAGCTGAAGAACAGCAAATGCTAAGCTTTAAGAGGGATTTTGGAGATGAAGAGGTAATATATGGTAGATTATGAAGTAAATATTATGAAAGTAATAGTTAATGATATATTCTAATAGAATATATAGTACACATTTTTGTAATGTTATCATTTATTAATTATATGTGTATCAGGCATACGCAACTGTTATAGAGCATAGTTATGGGTTATTGTAACAGAGAAAAGTACTATGGAGGTTGCGTTGAAGGATGGGTTGTTAAAATTCCCTCATAGTGTGGTGCTGAATGAGTGGATGGAGAAAATGAACGAACTTTTTAAGGGAGTATTTAAAGGGGTAGGTAACCAAAAAGTGCATGAGCCTGCCTGCTTTAATGAGGTAAATATGAATGATGTAGGTGATGGCGGTGAAGGAAATAGTTCACCTGTTAGAGGATTGATACTTACTGAAGTAAATACTGAAAAGGACGACAATTATACCACACCTGTTGATACGACTTCTTTAACAATGACTCAGTTTCATCGACTTCCAGGGGTGAATGACGAAATGATCAAGTTGTTGGAGGAAACTGAGTTACAAGTGTATAAAAAGAAAAAGCAAATGTCAGTAATCAGTAGGGATAATCTGGTAGGAAGAAATATAAGAGAAGCTGTTGATAATGCTGGAGGATATGATGATAATGACAAAAGGGAAAAACGCATTCCTAAAAAAGCAAAAGTATTTAATTCGCCCTATATTGAAAGAATTGTTAAGGTTGGGGAAAAACTGTCTAAGGATGAAACATGTATGCAATTCAGTTTTTGCATCTACAAGAGATGATGGGTATGTATTTATATATATGTTTATATATATGTGTCACCTATTATATTTATCTATAATTTTAAAAATGAATGTTTTAAAATTGATGTTATACATATTTTTTTTCACAGGGATGAGATTTGGGACATTGGAACAGGTCATTTGCTGCACCAGGGTTTTGCATATCAATTTAATCATGGAATGTTTTTGCATTCTAAAATAATTGATTGTTGGGCTGCGTTTTTAAATAAAATGGAAAACTACAAGGATGAGTCATCGCTTTCAAGATTTTTTTTCGATACAACTATTGTGGTATGAATTTATGTTGTAAAAAAAAATTTTAAATCAAATTTATTTCTGTAGAATTAATATTGATGTTGAGTTGGGGTTTTTCAGACAGAAGATATATTGAATGAGCTAAAGTCGGAAGATATGAAATGTAGGCTTTTTGCTACTTTATTGCGAATCTACACTAAGAAATTTGACGTGAAGCCAAGTTTTAGAGACGTTGCACTTGTAAGATTATTTTATAAATATAATATTTGTGGCATCAATTAATATTAACGTAACCTCTTCTTTTAATGTGTACAAGGTTTTCTTCCCAATAGTTGATGATGGAAAGTATTACTTACTCATCTTTGATCTGAGATCAAGTTTGTACTACATAGTAGATCATGTGAAGAGAACAGGAACTTTGGAAAGAAAGTATGGCATGATACCAAACCTGGTGGTAAGATAATCAATAAATTTCTGATTAATAGTTTTCCATTCTAAGGAATATTATAAGATTATTTTTTATGTATTTGTTGTAATTAATGCCAGAAAAAACTGTTTTGCAACTACTTGACATCACAACATCATCCAATGGCAAAAACGTTAACTTTTAAAGCAGCACGTGTGATGAACATATCTTGGCTAGTCGAAAAAGCTGGAACAGAATGTGGAATATACCTCATGAGGCATATGGAAACGTACATGGGGGAATATGAAGGGCGTTGGGAGTGTGGTCTTACAGGTAAAATGCCTGCTGATGTGAGTGCTACAATTAAGCTAAGGACAAAATACATGGCAAGATTGTTGACATCTGATTTCAATAAGTTCAAGAGTATGATAGTTAAAGATATTGAAGCGTTTCGTAAGCTTGATATTTTGGAACAAGATATGCTTCTAAGAGAGTCAGATGAAAACAAGAAGAAAAAAAGAAAAACAAAGGGTCGTAGGTAAGAATTTGGCGTGGTATTTAATAAGTTGACAGATAAACTTTGATATGTCATGAGCTGAACTTGTTTTTTTGAATGTTGAAACATGACTCTGCCTTATGTTAGATGTTTGAAAAAGTAGATTGTCTATCAGACGTTATGAAGTAATGTTATCAGTAGTATTCGATATATGTTATAATGGAATGGTAATTTTCGTATAATGGGTGTGTTGATGCGTTGTTTAAATTCTGGGATGATGATGTTGTGCATTGTGAAAATCTAAGGTTCTTGTTAGTAATGTAGTTTTCATATAATGCAACTTAATATTACTAGTGCATGTGTTGATGTTTTTTTTGTTTCTAATAATTTTGTTAATATAATTCAATGTTGTGGTTAATAATGTTTTGTGAATACTGTGAATAGAATTTTTTTTTTTTACAAATTATATGATGATGATGCAAGGTAGTATTTGTTATGATTCTGGTAGAATACGTTATGTAGATATTATGAAATAGGATATAAATATAATGAATTCTTGTATACAAATTGCATGTATCGTTTGTATATTACAGTGAATAATAAAACATTTTTGTTAACATTAAAATCAAACTTAAAATGATTGAAAGAATTTGTATATGTTGCTGTAAATTATACAATCGATGGAAATTTTGTATTAGAAGTTTTGAAAATAATGAATTTATACAGTCATGGAATGAATTTTTGTATTACGTTTTAGACTATTTTAAAGTAATAAGATAATATGAATATTGTTATGTTGATTGACAATGTCGATGTCAATAGTAATAAAAGTGAATACTTTATTGAACGACATAAAAGATAACAATAAGTGTGAATCGACAGAATTAAATCAAATGTCATTCTAATAAACTAAAAAAAAACAAGGAAATTATTTCTTGGTGTTCTTTAGAGGACAATTCCTTTTGTCATGATGAACCATCTGTTCACATATAGCACATTTTCTCTTTGGTTTCGAGATTTTCTTCTCAATCATCTCTTTTGTAGATTTTAATCTTTTTCCACGACTACCGCAGCCTTTGTTACGAATATCTGTAGGATTCTGAATGTCATTAACATCAGATTCTATATCAGGAACAACCACACCTAAAAGCTGCTTGAAATGATCTGCTCTGGTCGGTAGATCATTATTTGAACAGTTGTCTACGAATTTTTTTTTCAAGTTATTCTGTTCGTCAAGGTATAACTTTAACTTTGCTGCATCGTGGCTCAAAAAAGACACACAACGGTCAACAGATGAAAAAATATCAATAGCAGTCATGTCGGAAGTAGAATCGTCGAAAGAATTATTGAAGCATCTTTTCAGTAATTCTGTTGGAATGACATCCCTACGCCAACGTTTCAAAATGTACTTTTTAGGAATTTGTTCGATGCCATAAAACTTAAACACACAGAATATGTGTCTGCATAAGATACCTAAATGTTCAAAATGCATACAAGTACATTTGAATGAACCATCTTTAGTTGAGTGTGTGACCTGGAAAATATAAGATGATTAATGAAAATAATTAAGTTGTAAATTTTTAGTGTTTAAATGTAAATGATAAAATGACAATTAATGTGAAAAAAAAACATACCATGTATTCAGTATCCCTTATAAGACAATCGTAATTGTATTCCTCATCTTTGTCATCAACATCGACATCATTTGTTTGCCTAATAGTTATGTTCTTTCTTTTCTCTATAACAATAATCGTGTCAACACCGTTGGAAGATATCACATTCTTTTGGAAACAATTATCTTCAGATCTTGATATCTCCTTCTGAACCTGATAAAAAATATTTCGTGTATATACATTTGAAGCATGAGGTTCATACGGAGTACGGGTAATGAATTTAGGAAAAGTGGTGGCAGTATTAAAATCATTGAGAATTTGGTTATGTCGTTGTCGTTCCATAACTGATTCAAATGTCATCATAAACATAACAAGATAAGAACCGGTTAGTGTCGTTGTTTGAAATGACCAATTCTGACTTTCAGACAGCGATGTAGTCCGCATAAGACCAGACATTGGAATGTGCTTGAAAAATGCGGGGATCCAACATTTTCGCAATCCATACATTGTATTCATCCAAGTGTTATCAGTAATTTTAAACTCTTCCAACATCTGACGCCACACATTTTCGAATTCATGTGGTTCCAGCTTAGAATTCCAAATTATAGAGTGAAAACACTTTCGAAATTTTTGATTGGTTGTTGCGTCCTCAATTGATAAAATCTGTATAAATTCATTCTGTTAGAATATGATATCATGAAGTTATAATGTGGAAAATTAATTGTAGAATCAGAACAAACGTAAGAGTTAAACCAATTGATTCTTCCAGAATATGATATAATTGTATAATCATAACAAAAAGTAAGAGTTAAAGACAATGGGTTTGTTAAAATGAATTGATTCTGTGAGAATATGAGATAACGAATGCAGAATTTTAAAAGAAATTGTAGAATGATAAGAAAAATTAAGAGTTAATGCAATTAATTCTGGTTAAAACAAAACATTCTTCCAGAATATGATATAATTGTATAATCATAACAAAAAGTAAGAGTTAAAGACAATGGGTTTGTTAACATGAATTGATTATGTTAGAATATGAGATAACGAATGCAGAATTTTAAAAGAAATTGTAGAATGATAAGAAAAGTTACGAGTTAATGCAATTGAATGTTTTTGTTTAAAACAAAACATTCTGACAGAATATGAGAAAAGGATAGTATAATCATACCAAAAAAATAAGAATAGTATTCTTTTTATGTATACCTTATTTGGCAACTTCTTCGTTATATACCACATACATAACCTATGATGTGCCAATGGGAAAACCTTATCTATAGCTTTTTTCAAAGCTGGATCTTGATCAGATAAAACCAATTGAGGTTGTTTTCTAAAAGCTTTCAAAAAAGCTCTAAGCAACCATTCATAAGAAACTCCATCTTCTTTACTTAAAAGACCAGCACCAAATGTTACACATTTTTTGTGATTGTCAATGCCAGTAAACGGTACAAAAACCATATCATACCTATTTAAAAAAAAATATTAGTTTACATAAATGGAAATAATGAAATTCTTATTGAAAAATATTAAAGGTTATAAATACTTATTCATGCTGAATGTGACATCGATTGATATAACGTCTCCGAATGAATTGTAATTATACTTTGCTGTTTCGTCAGCCCAGAATAAAGAATTCAATCTGTTGTTCGACACTTTATACTCAAAAGTAAATGATGGGACATTTTTCTTCCTATCATTCATCTTGTCAACAAGGAATTTCGCGTCCCTCCCACCTATGTAACAATTAAGATCCCTCCTAGCATTCTTGAAATCAGTAACCAATCCACCTCGAACCGAAGGACCAACCTGAAGAGCACTATACAGTCTATGTGCTTTTACAGGACCAATGTTCTGTTTTGACAAATTATGAATGAAAATTTCTTGGGAATAATCAAGTTTTCTTTTTGAATGAGATAAGTGCATATTCCCTTTGCTAAACAACTCATGATTATGTCGCTCTACAAAATCACTCACGACATATGTAAGAGTACCGGGAATTATTTCTAAAACAACTTTCGCTTTACAATTCCTCCTAAATAGATCTTTCCTTCTTTGAGTCTTCTTATGCCGAATATCTAGAGTATCTAGTTTACTACTATTCGGATTACCTTCCCGATTGCACACAAGATGTCTATTTGTAATAATCCCATTTTTCATTTTTTGGACTCTTCCAAGCCTGACATCAAAACCAGATTCTAATGCATATTTTCTATACATTGTTTCTGCTTCACCATATGAATTAAATTTTGATGAAACTTTTGGTTTGATGTCGTCTAAAACAATCGGAGTCCAATACAAGGTGCCACCAGGAGAAACATAATCATGAGTAACATGTGGTTGTCCTGCTTAAACATAGCAAATACAAAATTATTATGAAAGAATTATATAACTTTTATTCTGACACAATTTTATTTTTTCTGTAAAAAATAAAAAATAGAAAATTCTGAATTCAAATTGGTACCTTCAATGAAATCAATATTAAACTCTGTATCTTCATGAGTAACATGTGGTTGTCCTGTTTAAAATAGAAAATACATAATCATTCTGAAAGAAATTAGTACCTTCAATGAAATCGATATTAACTTTTTTCTGTAGCAACTTCAGTATCATGAATTGAATTTATTACCTTCACTATAATCAATATTAACCTCTATATCTTCATCAACAAAGTGATTTTCGTCTTCATCATTATTTGCCTCCTCTGTATGTTCAACAATGGAAGTATTAACAATATAGAATCTGAAAACAGAATGAAAAATTAAACAAAAAATCAAAAAACTAACCTAAATTAGGATTACTGCTTTCTCCTGTTTGAAATCCGTCATTATATAGTGTATCATTATCAGGAAAATCGAAATCTTCAATTCCATTTTCATCATCACTAGCCAAATAATGTTCCTCGTACATATGATTATTGACATCTGCTTCTTGATCGCCCATTGCTACGAAAATCCGAGAGTGTTTGTCTATGCTTTGTTAGTTAAAAAATCAAAATATTTAAAAATGTCATACAAACCAGATAGGGATTAAAACGGATTCTATGCAAATTAAAAGCCTTGATATTAGGGATCATTGATAAAAATAAATGATTCCGATTTGATTTTTTTTTAAAAACATGATAAAGGGAAAACATGAAAACGGTACTATATTCACATTCCAAATATAAAAAATTCCAACATTACATTATATTAACTACTTAACAATAAAATTATGTATTTTTTTAAAGAAAAGTTGCAGAATATTTTATTAACGAAAGTATTCGATTAGAATGATATATAAATATGCCTTACAAAACTCTGCATGTTATCGGAATGAAATAATTCTATCAGAATGCTATCGGAAGTATGACTTATAAAACATATCAATTTTTGTTAACTCGAATCAATGCACGCATAAACAACTCTTGTTAACTCGACTCTACTATGATATTCTGTTA